CCTCAGCTCGACGAGCGGCCTCCCGGGCCGTAGCAGCGACCTCCCGGGCCGTAGCGACGGCCGCGTCGGCCTTAGACTTGACCTCCCTCAGGTCAGCCTCCCTGGCGGCCTCAGCTTGAAGGACTAGAAGCCCAGACTGGATAACAGACAGAAAAATAAAGGCGATGGTCAGAAGATGAACATCAAGGGAAAGAGGTACTCGGATCTGGTAAAGAAGGGGTACCTGAAGAGCGGTGGCCAGGGCAGCGCTGGTCGCCTCGGACGACGAACGGCGGGGCAGCTCAAGAACGGCCTTGAGGGCCATCTCCCTCCAAATCTCCTCCGCCGGGCAGCTCAAAGGCAGGGAGCTGGCGTCTTCAAGCGGGGGGGGCAGTAGAGCCTGCCTCACGGCCCCTTTTCTGCTTCTTCTCGGGGACCTTCTCTGTCCCCTTCTGTGGAGCCGCCTTCGTGGGGACGACCGGCGGTGGAAGGGCAGCTTCAAGGGCAGGGGCCCCGGAACCCTGAGCCAGCATGGTGGCGATCAAGTGCTGCTCACCCTCAGCCGTTCGTCGGGCAGCATCAGAGGCCGAAGAGTTGGAATCCGATGCGGGGGCGTTCTTGGCCTTCATCAGTGCGGCTTTAGCAGCGGCCGCCTTGGCCTTCCTCGTTTTCAGACACTCAGCGTGATTCATCTGAGCTCTGTCTGGCGGAGAACCTGCAGGAGAACGATAAAGGGTTAGAAGACGAACAGAGAATGCAAAAGGACACTCACCTCGAAGGACAGGACCGCCCGGTGCCCCGAGACGAGCGTCGAAGGGTGGAAGGAGTCCAAGGACACGGGCGGTACCTATGCCTGCCCCCGAGAGTGCCTCGAAGGTCAGATAGCCAGCTATGGGGCGAATGCCGCCCTGCAGGATGCCTTCCACGGCCTCACTCAGATCGTCGGTCAACTCCGGCGACTCTATCTTCGGGGGATAGCCATTCCAACGAACTGGGAGGGGAGGACCATCATAGCGAAGGAAGAAGAACCGGTTTTTCCAGTCATGGATGGAGGAGGGGTAGCTCTTAAACAGCCTCCTCCCCGGACGAGCGGCCACGCTCAGATACCCGTCGGAGTTCTGGGGAGTGATCCGGTAAAAGTAGTGGAACAAATCCAGGCTGGCTTCGACCCCCGCAAGTTTGCAGCGCACCAAGAAGGCCGATATGAACCTATAGGAGTTCGGCATGAATTGCGCCGGGGCCACTTGGAAGCAGTGGAAGAACTCCACATAAAATGCGTGAAGGGGAAACCGCAGCCCAGCTTCGACGGAGTCCAAGTGAAGCATGATCATCCCTGGACGTCTCCTCATCACGTGCTCAGCGCCCCTCACGCTCCAGACGAACGGCGGGGGGAAGAAGGTACGGATTTTGTTGAGGGCCACACGGGAGAGGACCTGGTCATGGTCAAGGGCGCTCCTGATCGGGCAGATGTGGCGCTCCATATCCGTAGGGATGCCCAGGTCATACACCTCCATATCGGAACCGGATTCGGCCTCCTCTCCAGAATCATAATCAGCAGGACGCTCATTTAGGGGGACTGCGTCAATAACATCTACTGCCCCGTCAGCACCCCCGTCCCCGGCGTCGCTCCCACTACTTTGAGACACATCATCCGGCTCGCCATCAGCCCGGATGGTCCCCACCGTCGTGGCCGAACCAGAGGTCCCGGAAATACTGGCCTTTCCGGGGGAGCGCGCACTCACATTGTCCGAAGAGGAGCCCGAGGACGAACCCGACGAACCGGACTCAGAACTTGACGAAATCTCCATCGAAGTCATGTCGGCTAGGAATCAGAACAAGAAAAGAAGCAGAGGGGGAAAATTACCTTACAAGGGGGTTAGCCGAATTCAGAAGAAGACTTGAAGAGCTGCGGAAAATCGAGAGCAAGAGAGCAGAAATTGGGAACCCTAATTCAGAGGGAAAACCCGGCATTTAAAGGGGAGAACACCGATGGGGAAGCCAACGAGGGGCTGACACGTGGCAAGGAGCGTATTCCGGCCCACGCGCTGTGCGTGGGGCAAAAACGTAATGATGACATTTCCTCGGGAAATGCTCCGCCGCAACATCAGCCGTCACCTCGTTTCCTGAACCGTCGACAGCTGTCAAGCACCATGACCACGAGCGTACGCTTACCACGGGTGCAGAAAACACAAAGTATCAAGACACGAACGTCTACCTTGAGGGGATTCCTACTTCCTTATGTCCTGCGCGAGCCCAGAACATCAGAAGTGGGGGACTTGTGTTGGGTTAAGGGCCCAAGCCGAGGTCCGGCCCACTAACCCATATTGCCAGACGCACGTCCAGTTAGAACACCAGGCCAGCCCACAGGCCCATGTCCCTTGAGGATGGACGAACGTCTGATGTTGGGGGCTCAGGCCCAGCAGACTCATCCCGACGAACGGCTGTGCGGGGACAAGGAGCAGGACCACGGGCCACCAGGGATGGCGAAGAACGTCTCCGGGACAAGCCTGTAGTCATCGGAGGGGACCCAGTTCACATGGTGAATATCTACAAGGCCAGGAGACGAACAGCCGATATCTTTCGAGGGTCACTTGGAGCAATCCAACTCACTTCCCCGGAGGACGAACGTCCCCACTAATCAGGCGGGAAACCTAGATTCTGGCGGGAAGTGCATTTAATGCTGAAGATTTGGTAGTTGGGACACCAGCGGTCCACAGGCTGCCACGTCAGTATAGCCACCTGCCTATTGGTGGGTATAAATAGAAGCATTTAATTCATTGTAAAGGGTTGGCAACTTTCTATTCTTAGCATCTAGCTATTGTATTCTTACTCGGAGCATTTCTACTGCCTTGTAAGACGAACGGCCGACGTGCCCTTTTTAGCAAGTAGATTGTACTTAGGGGAGTTATTACGAAGTTAATAATACCTATTTACATTGCCTGCTATTACTTGTGTTTCCTGATCCATCTCATAGTTGTTGGGCTAGATATCCTTACACTTACTCCACTCGAAATCTTTGGGCTTACGTGTTGGGTCCAAGGGTTGAAGGAATAAACCTCAACAATAATCATCCCCAAAGTTGGAATAATTTACAAGAAAACCAAGGAGTAGTTAGAAGCTACCTTACCCCAACTTCCAGCTTTTGGATTTAAAGTGCTTAATTTATGCTGAAGCAGGCATTTGAAAACACCAATTTCAGCTTTTTTAAGTCAAAAGCTGAAAAGTGCTTTTTTTAATCCTTGCAAACACTCCCTACAACTTGTTAAGTTTCTGGCGTGTGAAAATTGTGTGAACTTTACATCTTTTGAACATCCGAATATCTGCAAAAAAAAATGGAGCGTTGCAGGATAAATTTTCTTTATAAATGACTCGTATAAGTTCATCTAGCTTATACGATGTCATACTGTATTGACTTGAGTCTTGAGGTATCTAAAATAATTATTCAGAAGAAACCTACACCAAACGTAAATTTCAACTTTTTCACTTGTTGGTGTCAGCCTGTCAGGGGTGGATTCGGGCCGGGTCGGGCCTAGGCCCGACGGGCTTTCTGGGTTTTGGGGTTGGGCCCAGGTCCGGTCCGGGGCTGGGCCGGGCCTCTTTATATATTGTTTTTTTTGCCTTTTCTAATTAACCCCCACCCCCCTCACCCCCACCCCCAAACCCCCACCCCCCAAAACACCCAGCCCAACCCGTTGGAATTAAAAAAAATGAAAAAACAAAAAAAATTGATTTTGGCCGGAACCGGGCTGGGCCGGGTCTCATTTTGAAGGAACTGTGCCCGGAACCGTCTCCCCCTCGGGCCGGGTCAAAGCCCGGTACCCGGACCGGTGAACCAGGCTAGGCCGGTTCACGGGCCTGGTGGCTTGACCCGAGTCCACCACTAGTTGGCGTTAGTTGACGCACATTTGTTACATTAGGGGTGTTTGGTTAGCAGTCTATTAGCCATTTTTTGGCTGATTTGACTACTATTTGGCCTTTTGACTGCATTAATTAATTAGCTAATTTGAGTGTTTGGTTAACTGACTTTTTGATTTGGCTTTTTATGTGAAAAAGCCAAATTGAGAAACGCTGAATATCCTGGCGTTTACCATCGGCCGTTTGAATATTTACCAGTTATTCCCATTCTATCCACACTGCCTTCTACACTTCTCTTCGTCCTTCCAAACCTTCTGGCCGTCTTTCTTCTTTTAAAATCGAAAGCAAGTTTGTCAATTTTTCACCTTCAACTCTGAAACTCACACTACACCATAAATGGCTTATGGCAACACTAATTTGAAGTGTTGCTTCACAAATGTAGCTATACATTAAATGAAACGGGGCTAACACAACATTAGTTTAGAAATGTTGCAATAGATATGTTTATAAGTGTTAAAAATACTCTAATGCAACATTTGTTTAACAAGTGTTGTGATTGGTGTATTTGTAAGTGTTATATATACTCGGGAAAACTGTCAAATCAGTCCATCTACTATGGGTGAAAAGTCAATTAAGTCCACATACAAAATATTCGGTCAATTGGGTACACATTGTTCCAAATAATGGTCAAATATGCATTTTTGCCTGTCGCCCACCGGTTAGCCGGTTACTGGGTGACGTGGCTTCATACGTGGCATTTCTAAACTGATGGGGGAAAAAAAATTATTACTAAATGAAACCCTCTGTCCTCGTCAGCCATATACTAACAAATGTTTTCCCTAATTTGAAAACGAGGCTTCATTACCTTTTCTTCTTTTACCCAAACGCTGAAGAATGGCTGCGAGGTGTTCTTGAATCGCAAGTGCAACCCAGAGGTTTTGGTGTGTCTTCGTTTCGAACGCGATATCATACAGGTAAGTTCCTAGGATTGTAGGGTTACAAATACAATAGTTGGATTATATGCTAGAGATTCCCTATATGCTGTTATCCGGCTGCTTTGCCCTATGTCTCATTCTTCCTCTTTTTTTGATTTCTTGAGTATTGATTGATTGTGTACATATTTTTTTAATGACCAAAGTTTTGCCTTATTTTGCTTTGTGGTTTACAGAATGTTTGACAAAGTGAACCTAATTATTCACCATGGCGGGAACTTTGTTAGTGTGCCTGAAACTATGTACGTAGGGGGAGAAGTGGAGTGTATCCCAATAGATCCGGACTTGATTTCTTATCCTCATTTAATGAAAGCCTTAAAGTCTGGGAGGTATGGAAATATTAAAGGACTGTTTTTTAAAAAACCTACTGATGCTATGGGTGACCTGCTTGCCCTGTTCAATGATGCATCCACACTTCAGCTCATACATATGGCTAGTACTTGTGGCCAGTGTGAGATATATGTAGAGCATGGTTTGGATGAGTGTGAACTGATTCTCCCTTTACCTGGACCAAATAATGAAGGGGTTATTGAAGAATTTGAAGTACAAGTTCAAGGTCTGACACCAGAAGAAGAAATGCAGACCAATGTTAGACAAAGTGAGGCACAAATGCATAGTGGTAAGGTTTATGAATTGCATCCTGAGGCTGATGATTCATCATCAGAGGAAGAAAGGCATGACAGTATGGAAGAAATCTGTGAAGATGGGCATGGCAATGGGAATCTTGAAAGGGATAAAGCCATTCAAGAAGATGAAGCAGAGTTTGAAGAACATGATTCTGATTTGGCAGACCTTACAGGTACAAATGATAATAATGACACTCATGAGGAAGCCACAGAAGTGGATGAGAGGGACAATGATGTGCATGTTGGGTCTGAGTCAAGGGATAAACCCACTCCAGAAGCTGAAACAGAGTTTGAAGAACATGATCCTGATTTGGAAGACCTTACAGGTAGAAATGATAAAAATGACACTGATGAGGATGCAGACAGTGTTGAATATGATTCTTCTAACCCAGGAAGCTACACATCTGACAAAGAAATAGATGATAAGCAGTCTAAACCTCCACACATCAACCATGTTTCCTATAATCCGGAGTCTGAACCTCCCCTGATTGAGGTGGCAATGCTTTTTGAAGATGCAAGGCAATTTAAGAATGCCATGGTTAGGTATGCTGTGTTTCATAAAAGAGATATTCGCTATGTGAAAAATACAGATACAAGAGTTAGGATAAAATGTGCCCCACCATGCCCTTATAATATTACTGCTAGTTGGGAACCTTGGCTGAAGTGCTTCCAAGTTAAGGTTCTTGAATCCGAACATTTATGCAATTTGAGGTTCAAGTTAAGAATAGTTAGTGAGAAATGGATAGCAGAGACATATGAAGAGAAGGTACTTGAGAACCCAAGCATGGGTGCAGTAGAGTTGAAGGAACTTATCAAGAGTGAGCTGAAAATTAATGTATCTGCTAGTATGGCCACAAGAGCTTTGAGGGATATACAGAAGAAAACAGAAAGAGATTTTAAACATCAGTTTATGAAACTAAGGAATTATGCAGAGGAATGTTTGAGGTCCATTCCAGATTCAACTGTGGTGATTCACACAACCAAAGTTGTCCCAGAATCTCCCTCAATTTTTCAACGCATTTACATGTGTTTTGGGCCAGTCAAACGAGGTTTTCTAGAAGGTTGTAGGAAGGTAATAGGGTTGGACGGTTGCTTCTTGAAAGGACAACTGAAGGGTGAGATATTAACTGCAGTTGGGAGGGATGCGAACAACCAGATGTTCCCCATAGCTTGGGCTGTGGTTGAGATTGAGAACAACTCCTCATGGACATGGTTCTTAGAGCTATTGAAGAGTGACTTGCAGATTACTAGGCCAGACTTATGGACTCTAATTAGTGATCAACAAAAGGTATTTCTTAATATTGTGTATTAGATGACATGCGAAAGTGAAATGTGAATACTATATTACCAATGTCAACTACTGTGTTACTGTATAACTATAAAGACTTATACCAAATCTTATGTTAAACCAAAACTGTAAAATATGAGGAAAAGCTTGGCTAGGTATAACATGAAAGGTATAACTTCATGTAATAAGACCACAGACCATTAAAATCATGGACTATACCATAATATAAGTACTTATACACTTTCTGACTTTATAGATAAAGAATTCCCATTGACTATAGATCATTGTAATTACATTCAAGCATTTAAAAGAAGTTGAATGTTTAACAAAGTTGCATATACAAGCATACATAAGAATGTGTTTAATGCATACGTTCAAGCATATATATTTATGTACAGAAGCACACATAACAGCAACTTTGTGGATAAGTAATTCCCTTTTATGTAATTAATGCAGGGTCTATGTAATGTGATCGCCAATATCTTCCCTGAGGCTGAGCATAGGAACTGTGCTAGGCACATACATGCGAATTGGAGCAAATCACATAGGGGGATGGTGTTTCGCAAATTGTTTTGGAAATGTGCAAAGTCCACATGTGAACCACAATTGATAGATGCACTAGCAGAAGTAGACAAGGCTGATATTCAAGCTGGTACGGATTTGAGGAAATATTCATTGAAGTTATGGTGCAAGGCATATTTCAGAACCGAAGTGAAGTGTGATACAGTAGATAACAACTTGTCTGAAGCTTTCAATAGCAGCCTACTCAAATGCAGAAGCAAGCCATTGATTCCCATGCTTGAAGACATCAGAGTTGGAATGATGAAAAGAATAGCAAAAAAAAGGAAATATGTGGAAAGGTGGCCTGGTAAGATATGTGTATATTAGAAACAGCTAAATAAAATGTGTATTTTATCCTTCCTGGATTTATGTAATGGTTTATGACCTTTTAACCTATGCCTGTGTTAGGAAATTTTGGACCAATCATTATGAAGAAGCTAAATAAAAATGTGTTAGCAAGCCAAGCTTGGCATGTGGACTTCAATGGTGATGATGGCTACGAGATTAAGAAAGGAAGACATCAATTCAAGGTCAGCCTTAATAGAAGAACCTGCTCTTGTAGAAAATGGGACCTCAGTGGTATCCCGTGTGCCCATTCTATCTGTGCAATCCTGGATAAGGGAGACCAACCGGAAGACTATGTGGACAGATGGTACTCAAAAGAGCTATACCAAAAGACCTACTCTTATACCTTGCAACCAATAAATGGAGAACTGTTGTGGCCTAGAACAGAACATGAAGAAATGTTACCTCCTTTACCAAGAAAGATGTGTGGAAGGCCTAAAAAGAAGAGGGTAAGAGAGGAAACTGAACAAGCAACGTCAAATACAAAACTGAGTAGAAAAGGTAGGATTATGACATGCTCCATATGTCATAAAGAAGGACACAACAAATCTTCATGTCCAAATAAGAAGACACCTACTGAAGAAAGAGGGTCAGGGACAGGACCTAGTCTTGATGCAGGTGGATCTGGTCATGTGAATGATGATTATGGAGATGTTGGGAATGGAAGAGGTGGAACGGGAAGAGGGGGGAGAGGTAAAGGAAGAGGAAGAACACCACAATCTTTTGGCAATGGAAGAGGGAGAGGAATAGGGAGAGGGAGAGGAGGTAGGACTGATACAGCTGGCCTAAGTGGAAGGGGAAGAGGGGGAGGGAGAGGAGGTAGTACTGAAACAGCTGGCTCAAGTGGAAGGGGAAGAGGGTGTAGGGGTAAAGGAAGAGGGGGGAGTCAGAATGCCAGAACACACAGGGGTTATGGGGTGTACTTTGATGCCAACACGGGTCAAACCTTGGTGGATGTAAGTTAATAATATTTTCACATGTAAAATATGAAACAAATTAGAAATTTATAATACCTAACTTGGTTTGTTACCTCTTTGCAGCCAGGACAACCAAGTGAAAGAATTGTTGGTGGATGTCCATGAAGTGGTAAAGATGAACTGAATTGTTGAAGTTTCTGTGTGGATGCGTGAAGATGATAAGGCTACTATTTTTTTTTCCTTTTCAGACTCATGATTGATGGATATGTGTAGCCCATGTGTTGTTGTCCTTTTTGTCCCCTTTAAAGAGGGTTGTTGTGGCCTTTAAAGTTGCCTTTTTTGCTTTTGTTTTGTTATATTTCGGATTTAAGGCAGATTCAAAGTTGGGGGCCCTTTACAGTTGCCTTTATTCCTTCACATGATGTATTTTGTTTGGATGCTTTATTGGATTTAATGTGGAACGTATTAAAAGTATTAAGCTAGTATGGTTACTTGTGTTCTGCACATGTTTTTACCATTGACCTCTTTCTTCTGCTTGTGTTGTTCATTACAACACACATAATTATACATCTCCATTCATCCCTCATGCAGAATCAGTGTAAAATGGCAGCTTTAAAATACATCTCCATTGATCAACAAAATTGGAACACTTATTATACATAAACCACCTTATTATTCATCCTTCATTATGTATCTCTTTAAACAAAATTGGATCCTTAATTATACCAGCTTATTATTCATCCTTAAAGTTAGTACTCTAACTTTATTATACAATGGTTTTACTAAGATCCAGTACACAAGCCACTCACTATTTTGACTACAAACTACACAACTTACAATACAACATTCCCAGTAAACCAATTACTACAACAAAACCAATGCCAAACAAGTTCCTAAACATCTTGAAATCCTTTGCTTGTGCTTGAACTACCCTTCTCACACCATTGACTTGGCCTTGTACAGCAGTTAATTGTTCACCAACTCTGGATACCATGACTTTCAAATCTTCAGTGTTTTCATTCATCCCTGCAACGTTTGGAACCCCCCTCGTTTCCATAGATTCGGCCCAGGCAAAATAACCACACCCATGACCCTGTTCAATGTTAATCTATTTTATCATTTGCATCTTACACACCAAAATCAAGCAAATTTAACATTTACCTTCCATTTTTGACACCCATAGAACTTACTCCCGCTCTGTCGCGACACACAAAGGGGAGCTTTCAGCCCACAGAAGCAATAAACGGCCGGGTCATAATCCAGGGTGAAGTTCCGTACTTTTCTCGCAGTTGAAGTAGATGAGGATGAAGCAGCCATTTTCGCAGATGGAGAATATAGATGGAGAAGATAAGAAATAGATGGCCTAGGGTTCTTTTAATTCGCAGATGGAGTAAACAGGTTTTGGCTGACGAGGACAGAGGGTTTCATTTAGTAATAAAATTTTTTTTCCCCCCATCAGTTTAGAAATGCCACATATGAAGCCATGTCACCCAGTAACCGGCTAACCGGTTGGCGACAGGCAAAAATGCATATTTGACCATTATTTGGAACAATGTGTACCCAATTGACCGAATATTTTGTATGTGGACTTAATTGACTTTTCACCCATAGTAGATGGACTGATTTGACAGTTTTCCCTATATACTCTAATGCAACGTTTTTTAACAATGTTGCTCCATCATATACTTTCTTAAATAAAAGGCTTCCGACTGTCGGCGCGGTGATCTTTATTTTCTGATTATTAGCTTTATTGGTTATACTTCGTACTACCTCCGGTTTTTTTTAATCTTCACAGTTTGACTTCACAAAAAATAAGGAAAGAAATTTGACTTTACTGTAGAGTACACTGTTGAGGCACTGTTTGACACTGTTTGGCACTGTAGAGACACTGTTTGGCACTGTTGAGACACTGTTTGACACTGTTTGGCACTGTTTTGATGTAGATTTCTTTGCCAAAAAAGGAAATAAGGAAGTGTGAAGTTTATTTTAGACCGTCCCAAAAAGGAAAGTGTGAAGTTTATTAAAAACCGGAGGGAGTATAATTTTTTAATATATTTTTTTCTTTATTTTATGAATGAAACATATTTGAAATTATAATTTCGTCTAAAATTCAGCCAATTCAGTCATTTAGTGAGAATCAATTAATAAATTTTAGCAGATTCAATAAATTTGAGAATTATTAAATGGACTATTAAGTTGTTGTACGTTTGGCAAGATTTTTTAAAATCACTTTAAAAATTGTAAAAGTGTTGCCATAGATTCCAAAGGCAACACATTAGGGTGTAATGCAACATTTTTTAAGTGTTGCCTTAAACCATTTATAGTGTAGTGTCAGCCGGTCATCTTCCTTGCCTTTATTGGTAACGGGAGGAGTAGGTCTGCGGACTTCGCGTTACTTCCATCAAAATAAACCTCTCTGTCTTCTTATTTCCCTTACCTTACTGCTGAGTGCTGACAAGCTATTTTTATTTTTTTGCAACATGTGTATAGTAGTTGGTGCTAACAGGCTTCGTTGGGGATTAATATTTATTTAAATACATTTTTTATTTTGTTACACAACTTATCTCAATATATTTTTACTTTTAATCTATTTATGGATCAAAATAGGATCACACTAATTAAGTTTATTAATACATAATAAATGTTTAAATTATTTTTTGCTTGCGTTCAATTTTTTTAAATCATAAATCATACTTAGTGAATTAGAAAGGTTTAAGTAGTTTTATTAATACCATTAACAAAAAAAATAATTGATGTCCTTAATGGTCATTTAAGAAATTATCAGCTAATTGCAAACGGTCATTTAACCAAATACCATTTTACAAACTGCTAACATTATCAGCTAATCAAAACAAATAAAAGAATCTGCTGATATCAAACAGCTAAACCAATCAACCAACAGCCAACCGCTAACAGCTAACAACCATTTGCCAAACACCCCATTATGGTCAAACATTTATGATTCTCCTTTAACACAAAGAACGCATGCCTTTCACATTCTCAGAACAATCTATCAATTGAAACGTGGGTCTAAGACAGATATTACGTTACGAATCCCATACCCTCAAACAATCTATCATTTGAAAGTGGAATAATTTACCATAATAATCTATCATTAGTATCTACCATAATAATCATCCCCAAAGTTGGAATAATTTACAAGAAAACCAAGAAGTAGTTAGAAGCTACCTTACCCCAACTTCCAGCTTTTGGATTTAAAGTGCTTAATTTATGCCGAAGCAGGCATTTGAAAACACCAATTTCAGCTTTTTTTAAGTCAAAAGTTTAAAAGTGCTTTTTTTAATCCCTTGCAAACACTCCCTACAACTTGTTAAGTTTGTGGCGTGTGAAAACCGTGTGAACTTTACATCTTTTGAACATCCGAATATGTGCAAAAAAACAATGGAGCTTTGCAGGATAACTTTTCTTTATAAATGACTCGTATAAGTTCATCTAGCTTAGGGTTGGACTCGTGCGGGTGGCCCGACCCAGAACCAGCCCGAACCGGCACTGTTCCGGCCCGGTGGCCTGGTCAGTGACCGGTTCGGGTAGGCCCGACCCGCTGGGGTTCTGGTCCGGGCCCCTCAAAACGTGAACCGGTCCGGGCCTTTTTATTTATTTTTTCTTTTTTTTTTGATTTTTTTTTTTTAGTTTTTGGGTTGGGCTGGGTATTTTGGGTCATTTGAGATGGTTTGAGATGGTTTGGGGGTGGGTGGGTGGGGGGGGGGGGGGTTAGGGATTAATTAGGAAACGGCAAAAAAAAAAAAAATTGAACCGAGGCCCGGCCCGGACCCGGGGGTTACCCGGGCCGGTTTCGGGCCTCCCCTTTCCTGAACCGAGGCCCGACCGGGCCCAAGCCCGAACCGGGCCCGGGTCCATGCCTAATCTAGCTTATACGAAGTCCTACTGTATTGACTTGAGTCTTGAGGTATCTAAAATAATTATTCATAAGAAACCTATACCAAACGTCAATTTCAACTTTTTCACTTGTTTGCGTCAGGGGTGGATTCGGGCTGGGTCGGGCCTAGGCCCGGCGGTCTTTCTGGGGTTTGGGGTTGAGCCCGGGCCGGACCGGGCCTCTTTATATATTGTGTTTTTTGCTTTTTCTAATTAACCCCCGACCCCCTTCACCCCACCCCCCAAACACCCAGCCCAACCCGTTGGAATAAAAAAAAATGAAAAAACAAAAAAAAATTATTTTTGGCCCGAACCGGGCCCGGCCGGGTCTCATTTTGAAGGAACCGTGCCCGGAACCGTCTCCCCCTCGAGCCGGGTCAAAGCCCGGTACCCGGGCCGGTCCCGGGCCCGCATAGTAGCGGGCCAGGCCGGTTCACGGGCCGGGTGGCCCGACCCGAGTCCACCACTAGTTGGTGTTAATTGACGCACATTTGTTACATTATGGTCAAACATTTATGATTCTCCTTTAACACAAATAACGCATGCCTTTCAATCTATCAATTGAAACGTGGGTCTAAGACAGATATTATGTTACGAATCTCATACCCTCAGAACAATCTATCATTTGAAAGTGGGGTCTAAAGTAGATATTTTGTTAAGTAATCACACGATATTTTTGTTAAATACTTCGTAACATATGAAGAAAAATAGTACTCCGTACTATAAAAAGTTACTAACAAAGTTACTAACAAGCTAAGGAGTATTATGTAGTAATAAAGTTATTTTGAGTATACTATCACGAATGTAAAATTGAGCATTATCATTACTAAAAATTACTATTATAGCCACTATAGATTAAAAAGTTCCATTTTTACCAACTACGGTTAGACATTAGTTTAGCCACATACATGGCGTTATTTCTATTTT